AAGTACACAATCGGTCAATTGCAGGTGATTAAACTTTTTGTACAAGAACTAATACAACTAACTACTCAACTAACCGTCGTTTTTTTCTTTGTAGGATTTCATGAATCCAACTTTGTTCGAGAGGATATTAAGATTGTTGCAGCATCGCGAAATCGAAGAAGCGAAGATTAATGATCTGCACAGGTGTCCGTTCTGCGATTACGCGGCCGTAGTCGAACAAGCCATCTTCAATTGCACTGAGTGCGGAAAGGATTCGTGTATATTATGCAAAAAGGAATCTCATCCTTCGTTGCTCTGCAGCCAAGTGGAGGACGACGATGACGTCCGTAAGCGTACATTCATTGAAAATGAATTGTCCGAGGCTTTGTTCAGGTAAGTACAGCAGTACTCTTGTTAGTGTTATTTGAACATGTCATTCTCACTTAATCAAATTCGACATACCAATTAAGATATGTCCTATAAATATAGCTCCAGCACTTAAGCATATTCACCCCAAACATTTTAGCATTTAGATACAGGTGAAAAATATCAAGAACTAATTCGATGAACTTCTGATGCAATGAGTACAACATATGAAAAGGTATTATTTCAATATATTTCGTTCAAATTATGTACGCATTGTACGTAAGTGCTTTTGGTATAACTTTTTGTTGATTTTTAAAAGTTATCTGGTTACTTTATAATTAATTTTAAATTATTTAATTCTTGTTTCCTGATTCCGAGTGTTGTATAATAATATGATTAATATAGTTTCGTCTATGCTATTTGTTTTTCTAATAACTTTGATTTTGAACAGTCTGGGCAATTTGTTTTTAACCAAGTAGGTCTACATTTCGACATCTGGTGGAAAATTTCTTATCACATGGATGTTTAGTCTTCTTTCTTACGATAAGTGTCTTAGCTTTGCTTTGTGCTCTTCAGATGTTTCGTAATGGTTCAACGAAAGTTACTGAATTTTCGTATCATTGTTATTTTTTGTTGCTAAACATATTAGGCGTAGCAGGTTGAAATCATCAACCATGCGAAAACGATATACCATTATTAGCTTTATAACACATGATTTAATTTTGTGTCTGGACACGTGAGTTGCATTAGAAGACAACTCGATCCGCTTTTCTTTCTCAAGTGCACATGGTCTATTAATTATTAATACAATACAGTTTATGCCGATTCATAATAACGCCGTCGTATGGGTTGTAGGAACGGAACTATGACGTAAACCGAGGACTAACATCATAGAGGTTACCTTTCTATAAGTTGATATCAGCAGCATTCTAAAGTTCTTTTAAAAGTGGAAACATTTCTATAATCATCTTGTGCACGACTATCCTAAAGAGACAGCTTCTTTATGAACGCATCCGATTTCTTTAAATCAAAATATTCGGAGAAAAATATTAAGTTCGTTTAGAAGGTTAAATATGTTCGCCACCTTTTTTTTTGTAAAGTAGAGTAAACCTTACATAGGGACACCACGGGTGGAGTCGTGGTACTGTGGGATTCTTGCCGCACTAAAACCTCTCCCCTTCTTCATCAGGATCCATGTCTCTGCTATGTACATTGTCTTAGCCAAGCTCTGCGCTTCTATGTATATTCACTATCACTTTCTTCCTTTTCTATCTCCATCATCCACTCATCATTTTCCTTCTCTTGACTCTTAGTATCTCCCCGACGAACGTCTCTGGCTCTAGCACTTCTCCTTCTTCCAGCACCGATCGCAAAACTTCTTTGGCCTTCAACATTTGCAAGAGTTCCTTTTGCTTCACATTATTGCGGGAGAACTTTACCTTGTAGACTCATCTGTTGTCATTAAATTTTGAAAATAAATCCGCAAATTTTATATAATACGTGATAAATATTTTTTGTTTTCAGAACCTGTCCAAACTGCAAACTTAAAATTATTAAGGAAGACGGATGTAACAAAATGACATGCAAGTGCGGAAAAATGATGTGCTACGTATGCAAGGCAAACGTACAGGACTACACCCATTTCAATGGAGAAGGAGGAAGCAACTTTCATTTGTAAGACTTCTTTGTATTTATTTGATTTGATTAAATAAAAAACAAAATCCATGTTTCAGGTGTCCTCTGTACAACAATACAAGAGAAATGCACGCAGCGGATGTTCGTCAAAGAGCGAGGGATGTAATGAATGAAGTCGGCGGTAATTTAAAAATTGATCCAACTGCCGACATCGATGATTTCTTGTGATCAGAAAAAATATATATATTTAAAAATGTACTCGTAAATTTAAGAACCAATAGCAGTTTGGCCAGTTCCTGAAACTGGCGCAAGTTTAGATTTAATTTTTTTTCTTTGACAATTTTGAATTTGTGGAGCGAAAGTTAAGAGATTTGCCACGAGTGTTTCATACCCTTATCACCGCTCTATACGATGTATTCCTCTTTTTAAATGTATCTCGGAATTATTATTTACCTGTAGTATATTTGTTTTTTTTTATATGAAGTTGTTTATTTTTTTAATAATAAATTATTTGCTATCTAAATATCTTTAATTATTGGATACTAAACCTAATAACCTATAGCGAATACAGTCGTACCTTGATTAGCAAGTAGGATGCATTCCAATAAATTCCTTTGTTAATCGTAGCTTTGTTTTCAGAGGTAAATAATACTAGAATGAAGATACGTTCCTTCGTAAAGAAAACCACATTTTAAATATAATCTTAATTTTCGGACTTCGTTATATGAAAGCTTCGGTATCGAAAGTAAAGAAGTATCGTATTCTATCAGATCACGTACTGTCCCATTATAGATGCTGACGTCTTCATCGCTAATTTCAATTAAGATTATTTAATAACAGTCGTTCGTGAAATATTTGAACATAAAACCTTATAAATAATAAAATTATTGACGTTTTGAAGTTTTATTAATTAATTTAGCCATTAGATTATGGCTAAATTAATTAATAAAACTTATAATTGTTTACATTTACCTCAATTTTAATCAAATTGACACATTTTTGACATAGAGGTGAATGCCAATTTCCAGCATATGTAAATATCTTGGAATGTACAAACAATTTATTGTCAGTTAATATTTTATTAAAAATATCGCAAGTTTCATAATAATTATATTAATCTTTGGAAAAATCTACCAGACAGAAAAGATCTAAAGATGTCGTAATAGTTGTGAGTCGAAGACCTGCTTTTCCTCCATGGATAGTTTTATCTCTCTTGTGACGCGATGGATCTGCTCGATGGTGGAGTGATGTTGTCGGAATCCGAACTGGTGGTCCGGAATCTCACCCTCCTCGGACAAGATTGGACGGATCTGAGACTATATCAGTCTTGAAGGTTTTTTCTGAGACTAATTCTAAAATAGTTAGTAGAAACAAAGTTTATTCTTATTAATACGGGAGTTGTGATCGGGAGTATGGTTTGATTATATTGATGACTAAGCGTTCCCACGGGAATCGGTCTCGGTGGTTTTGTTTATTATAAGACCGGGACAAATTCCTATGCATTTGTTTATATGAAAAATATGATTGATTACGATTGTACATGTAACGATCTTTATGTGTTTATAATAAGGACTTGAATTCGATATAAAGGTATAGGAGTATCGATGGGAATGTTTACGCTTGGTCACCTTTGTTTATATTAAAGTGTATCGAACTGGAATCACGGTAGAGATTCCTTTATGTTTATATAATAATGCGACTAATATAATGCGTCAATACACTATACTAAAAATAACAATTACAATAATAATGGTTGGACACAACACAAGAATCTAAATTCAACGACATTCACATTTTTTTAAATAATTTTCTTTGCATGTTATGAAATAAAATTTTGTATATGCTTTCTTGATTCAATCCATTTTGTTGATATATGTTGTATCAATTTCCACTTCAAAGAAACAATGGTTTTCGACTTTCCAACGAAATTCCGTATTTCCGATTTCATCATTATTTTCACACAATTGCACAAAAATATTATATCAGCATTATATTTATACATATTAAAACTATTATTATAATTAAAATAATTTAAGTTAATTATATCATAAACCACTTGAATTCAGTTCTTTTTTTCATTATAGATACTTTTGTAAGTACAATGAAAGAAAATTAATCCGAATCTTCATACAACTTTTTAAATCTATTGCCTACTTGGTTTATAACTATACATAAAAAAAATGCATTGACGCGAAAGTCTCACTACCAAAATGGTAGTACTTGGTGATGATCCTCATGGTCGATATGAGTTAGTTAATATCAGGGGCGGCAGGGCCCCACCTACATTTGTATAATTAGTCCAATAATTGTAGTTTTAAACATGTGTTTCTTGTAATTATTATTTTTTTGATCTATTTTCAACACGTTTTATTGTTTCATAAAAAAATACAGTCGTGTTTTGTGGTCATATTGTATGTGACTACAATACACTTCTATTAACTATTAATGACAATATATATTTATTATTGTATTTGTTTTTATTGACTTAATAAAACATAAAATTAAGAAATTAATTTATTGTTACTGATATTAAATAATATTAGATGGTTACTACGTTTCGGAATAATTTAAAAATATTATTGTATAAATTATAATAATAAAAAACACTGTCGTGATTTTGATTGCCACCGATTATATTTATATCTTTTGAGCTCATTCATCCGCTGATTGCATCATACACTGCTAAAATGTATTTTAGTATGAATAACTCATGCCATTCACACGAAATAAGTCATCAACAAATATAACATATATCTAATGTTTGAAAATTATTTTCCACTACTCAATATTGTGATGTGGAACAGACAGCAGTATTCGTTGGAAGCTGCTTGAGTTCGGTTCGTGCTAAAGCTTAGAAGACAAAAAAAAGATCTAGTTTCATCACGTTTGTTAATTATTGCGTAATAATTTATCCACCATGTACGTATCGAGCAATTATATTTTCAAATTATTAATATTGAATTAATATGTGTACTTATTAAATGCATATTCATATTTTATGCAATGTAAATGTTCTTTGTTTTTGCCATTTTGATAACAATTTGTTAAACCAAAATCTGATTTTGTACTATTTTTCTTTAATAATTTCTGTACTTTGTTCACTTTAAGTAAACATATTTGTAATCTATACGTATTGCCGATGTTCATCTATAAATATGCACCCTTCGATTCATTATCTAACCATACTTTGTAATCTGTTGCAATATTAATACGTCGCACGATCTAATTGAAACTACTAATCAACTCTATTATCGCCTGTACTTTTGCAGTAATCAAAATTTAACGGTGATTTGTTTTTGCCATAATAAATACAATAAATATAAAAACTTATTTTCAGTAACGATTACTGATTACTGAATTTTGTTTGCATGTTATGAAATAAATGTTTGTATATGCTTTCTTGATTCAATCCATTTTGTTGATATATGTTTATCAATTTCCAAATGGGACTGAAGATTTCAATGAAACAATGGCTTTCTACTTTATATTCACCATTATTTTACTTATGTTTCTTTATTGGCATTGTTTTTAAATTCCAGATTTTGTTACAATTGGTTTAGAATATGTTAATTTTAGTATTTTAGCTATTCGTCTTTTTGTTGTCATTTTAGCTTCCTTTTCGCTGCAAACATGGTATTGTTTATACATTTTTGTTATTTGTTTATATATTTAT